AAGCTTTAAAAATAACGTCGAAATCTATTCTTAAAAGCTATTAAGGCTTACTTTAAGCTTAAAAGCTCGTAAAATTAAACTACTAGATTAATTTATTACTACGCAAATACTTAATAATTTAAGTTTAGATTTTAATTATCCTATTACCGCGATCACGTTAGACTTTAGATTAAATAAAGGAATTTATCTTAAAAAAATGTATAGCTAGATTATTAAAGAATCTAGACGTCTTAGATATGTTAATAATAGCTCTAGTAGCTTAAATAGCTTAATTTAAATAAGCTATATTAAACCTTATCAATGTTATCTAATTAATAAATCTAATCTATCCTATTAATTTATTCTATTCTATTGATTAATTCTATCCTATTGTTATAAGTAACAAGAAGGATTCTCTCCTTAACGAAGGATGGAAGGCAAGGAGCCTATGGACGTCTACGTCAGAAGGTAATGATTATCGCGGGGCGAGAATCACGTGATCTGGCATCTCGCCAAGACCAGGCATCGCGCCAAGAAGACAGATACTAGGACATCTTGAGATACTAGGACATCTCGAATATCTCTAGATGCCGGGGCACTTCGAAGATGCCATAGATATTAGGACTAGAAGTAATAAGAATATAAGAATAGATAGATTTTATTATTACTCTCGTTATAGTTAACTTAAATTATACTTTCTTACTAGTTACTTAACTTTATAAGATTAATACTTATTAGTCTATTTAATATAGATTAGGAATTATTAAATCTATTATTATCTATCTTATAAGCACGCCTACTCTACTATATCACTAGATAACTATCTTACGGCGCTATTTATATATTCTTACTCGCTCTAACCTAGATTAAGCTTAAAGAAGTATTAGTACCTAACTCTATATAACACTTTAACCACCTATAGATTTAGTAGACTAGACGGATTAATAATAGGACGCCTAATTAAGATTTAAAATAGTATATAATTACTTAGGATCTTAAGGTAGCGCTAGTAGACTAGTCTAGAGTTCTAGACTAGTGCCCAACCTAGCACTTAATGATAAGATACTAACTCTAAGTAATAATAAGATAGACGAGGATGCCTATAACTTATAAGAGTTATAGAATCTTAGGCACTAAACTACAATTTAAGTAAGGTAAATAGCTAGCCTATAGGAAATAGTTAATTAGCTTATAAGCTAGTTAATAGCCACGCTAAATAAAAAACCTATTAGGAAACTTAAGATAGTAACTCTAGATAAGTATCATAGAAGTCGCACTAAACTGCGAACGTTCCTTACTAATATTAACTTATACTGTAGATATAACGACGTACCTAATAATAAGAAAAAGATTCTTATAGCTAACACCTATATAAAAGGAAAAGTAGCTAGTTAGATATAGCTTTACGTAGAGGATTTCTTAGCTAATATACTAAAAAAGAGTACTAAGAATAAGATACATGCCTTATTTAGCAGCTGGGCTAACTTTAAGGAAGAACTAGAACGTATCTTTAGGGAGGTAGACGCTAAAAGCTAAGTAGAGAAGGTAATCTTACGCCTAAAGCAGACTAAGTTAGTATTAGCATATATAGCTAAGTTTAAGTAATACTAAGTATAAATTAATTAGGATAATTCGACGCTTTAAACAATATATAAAGTAGGTCTAAAGGAAATAATTAAGAACGAACTTATATACTACGACAAGCCGAAAGATCTATACGCGCTAATTAAGTTAGTAATAAGAATTAATATAAGACTATAGGAACGAAACTAGGCTAAGAAAGAAGATTAACCTCGCTACCTATTCGCTAACTCTTAATAATAACGTAACTATAAGGATAAAGATAGCGATATATATATAACTAGTAAGGTATAAGATAGGTCTAAGAATAAGAATAATATCTAAAGAAAGTTTAATAACAGCCTTTCTAAGAAAGAACGCTAGAAGCGTTATAATAATAAAGTATATCTCAAATACGGGAAGTTAGGACACTTTTATAGAGACTCTCTAGAAAATAAAGTTAAGTAAGAAGTAGTAAAGTTTAGAATAATTTAGATACTAATACTATACTTAACTAAGGAACTAGATAAAACTCTTAGTAATCTAGACCTATACGAAGAAGTAAGATAAGTTACTAATAAGGTCTTTAAGCTAGTATAAGAGGTAATAGGACTCTAAGACTTTAAGTAGGACGTACCACTACTAATAGATTAGTAGATTAAAGAGGGTAAGAGACTACGCCACCTAAGAAATTAATAGTGCTAAATCTGCAGACTAACTACGCACTAAGCTAATAATTGCGACTATAATAGAAGAGTTATAATCTTAGAACTCTAAGTAGATAAGATTACCTATAGGGCTGCCTAGGAATAATCTAAGTTTAAGAAACCTAATAACGAAGAGACACCTTAGATATTTAAAGAATAGATAGAGTAATATAAGCGCCTATATTAGGTCGACAATTTAAGATAGTATAATTACTACTTAAGGAAGCAAGAAGAAACTAGAGATAACGAGGACGATTACTACTATACTAATTTATAGTATAATAAGTGTCGCGTATAGTATTACTATATATACTAGCCTAGAGAAAAGAAAGCTTATAAAGAGTTATACTAGATTGAGTATATAATTAATTACTAATTCTAAAAAGAATAATAATAGAAAGCTAGAAAAGTAGATAACTACTATTATAGCAGGATTTCCGCGGAAGAATATATAGTAAAAAACTATAGAATATATAAGACCTAAGTATAGAAAACGCTAGTAAAGTATAATAAACTCCTATAGACGCATTATAGGAAAGAATACGCTATACACTAATAATAGTTTAAGAATACTTAATAGATAGGTAACTACTACTATAGCACTCTATTAGCAAATAATTATAAGGTAAAGAATTACCTAATTTATAAAAGTAGGAAGCTAGAACTAAGAAAGAGAGCTACGTAACAGAAGATACCTTATAAAAATATCCATTAGAGCTTCTACTATAACGACTAGTATATAATACACTATTCTACTAAGGTAGATAAAGGCTACTTTCTAAAGAAGAAGGAAAGTAGGTAGTTAAAAAACTAGAATGCTACTAGAGATAGGGTCACGCTAGTAAAGGCAGTCCTAAAACGACTCTTAAATAAGTATAAAAAGTAGAAGTAAAAGAATTATAATTAAAAGCTATAGTACTTATAGATAGATATAAGGTATTAGCGCTTATAGATAGTAGAGTAGCACGAACTATTATATCGCCATAAATAGTAGAAGGAAATAATATACTCTATTAGAATAAGAAGATACTAATACGAGTAGTATTAGCTAATAATAGTTCTACGATATACGGGAACGGCTAGATCTGACTTAAGACTAAGATAGTAACGTTACGCCTAGCTAGTTAAGAAAGCTGAGAAAAGATTAGTATTATAGATCTTAGAGAGACTAAGATAATAATTAGCTATAATTAGTTATTAAAGCATAATTCTACTATTAACTAGTAAAAGAAGATATTACTTAGCTAAGAGCTTATATTTAAAGTTACTAGAGTAAGACATAAGATATATCTAATAAATTAGCGCGCAATCTAGAACAGGAGATTTAGCATAATCTTACTATATAAAATCGCGAGAATCTATATAAAGAACCCTTAGAGTATAGAAATTATTTAAATACAGCAGATCGCGACTATAAAGAAAGAATTAGTACTATAGTTAGCGATTCTAATAGAATACTAGATAGACGAGTTTAGAGAACTATTTAAGTAAAATAAAGTAATAGACTTAGTAAAACACTAGAATTAGAATTACGAGATTATTCTAGAGAAAGGAGCGAAATTAAGCCTAAGAGGAATATACTCTATAGCGCCTAAGTATAATACTAAGCTGCGGGATTATATCTAAAAGAACTTAAAAAAGAGATTTATCTAACTAGAATTAGGCCTAATAGCATTATCTATTCTATTTATAAAGAAGCCTAATAGAAAGTAGCGACTATATATTAACTTTAGAAGGTTAAATAGTATTACTTAGAAGAACTAATATCTCTTACTACTTATTACAGAGCTTATAGATTAACTCTAAAGAGCTAAGTAGTATATAAAGTTTAATATTTAGGAAGAATTTTACTAAATTAGAATTAAAGAAGGTTACGAATAAATAATAGCGTTTAAAACGAAGTACAGACTCTTTAAGTATACAGTTATACTATTTAGATTAACGAATGCGCTAGTAACCTTTTAATTAGTTATTAATAACGCTCTCCACAAGTACCTTAGAATCTTTATTACTGCGTATCTAGATAATATACTATTATACTCCAGCAGCACATACGAAGAATATATTAAGTATATTAAGAAGGTTCTACGAAAGCTTAAGAAATATAAGCTATATCTTTAACTAGAAAAGTGTAAATTCTACATATAAGAAACGAAATTTCTTAGATGTATTATATTAACTAAAGAAGTAAAAATAAACCTAAAGAAGATATAGACTATATAGGAATAGCCAAAGCCTAAAATAGTTAAAGATATTTAATCATTCTTAGGATTTATAAACAATTATTAGAAGTTTATTAGAGATTACTTAAAGATTACAGCACTCTTTATCAAAATAATAAAAAAGAAAATAGGTTTTAAATAGGAATAGGAACTTTAAGAGGCTTTTAATTAAATTAAGTAGATATTTCTAGAGGCGCTAGTACTTAAGATATATAGCCCTTAATAACCTACTAGAGTTAAGACTAACGCGTCTAACTATATACTTAGAGCTGTATTATTATAGTAGTACCTAGATAAAAAATAGAGACTAGTATTCTACTATTTATAAAAGTTCTTAGAAGTAGAACTTAATTATAATATTTATAATAAGAAACTACTTAGAGTAGTTAATACCTTTAAATAATAGAAAGTATACCTATTAGAACTCCCCGACTAGATTAAGGTTTTTACTAATTCCTAGAACTTAATAAGTTTTATAATAACAAAAAAACTTAACTAATAATAAGTATAATAGGTAGAGATGCTAGCCTAGTTCGACTTTAAGATCACGCACCGCGCGGGAACGCTTAATAGAGCAGTAGACGCTTTAAGTAAAAGATTTAATTTACGTAAAGAGGGTTATAAGAAACTATATAACGCTTTACTTAAGAAGATACCTAATAGTAGTCTAAAGTATAACTAGCTAGAACTAGCTAAAGTAGCTAAGGTAGCTAAGCAGATAGAAACGCTATAATAGTAATAGTAGTAGTGAGCAGTCAGCTAGCAGTTTAAGCCCAATAAAGTAGGCTCTAACGAACTATTAAACGACGAATAAGAGTACTAAGATATAGTTTTAAAGAATTAAATATATATATCTCTATATATAAGAATAAGTCTTATATAGAAACTATACGAGTTATAAGAGTATAGACATATAGGAATTAAAGAAATAGTTAGACGACTAGCTAAGGTATTTACAATACTACCTATGTGTACGAAGGTATAGAAAATACTAGATAACTATTTAGTATATTACTAGAATAAGCCTAAGAGACATAAGCTCTATGGCCTATTATAACCTCTATAGCTACCGTCTAGACTATAGATAAGTATAACGATAAACTTTATAGTAAAGCTCCTGAAATCGTTAGAACTAGGATTAGCTTAATTTTAAAATATAACCTTAGTAATTATAGACTAATTAACTTAAATAGTAAAATTTATACCTATAGAAGAGACTATTAAAGCAGACGAATACGTATACAAAGTTACTAAAGCATTAGTGTTAGAGTATAGAATACCTAAAGAGTTTATTACTAATTATAATAAACTATGTACGTCTAAATACTAGAATATATTCCTAGTAAGGATAGATATTAAAAAGAAGCTTTTAATAAGCTTTCACTCTAAAATAGACGGCTAGACGGAATAAACGAACTAGATATTAGAATAGTATCTACAGAAATACGCTAATAAATTAGAAGATAACTAGATAGAGTTACTACTAATAGCGTAATTAGCCTATAATAGTATAAAATTAATAATAATAAAGTATTCGCTGCACTACGCGAAATATTGATATAAGCTAATTACTTAGTAAGATCTAAAAGATATTAAAAGTATCGCGATAGGAGTAGATAATAAAGCGAGGCTTATGCGAGAATTACACGAAGAATTAAGTAAGAATATAGCTTAATAGAACCTTACAATATCTAAAATAGCGAATAAACTAAGAATTAAAGAACTAACCTTTAAGAAATAGGATAAAGTTATCTTATTAAGATAAAACCTAAAAACTAAATAACTATACAGAAAATAGGATAATCTCTAAATAGAACTATTTAAAATCCTAAAGAAAATAAGAAAAGTAAACTATAAGTTAAAACTCCTATAAGATATATAAATCTACTCTATCTTTTATAAGAAACTCCTAGAACTAGCACCTCTAGATACTAAGCTAGTAATAGATATAGAGCTTAAAGACGATGAGTATAAGGTTAAGAAAATTAAGAACTTATAGAAAATTAGTAGTTAGTAGAAGTACTTAGTTAAGTAGTAAGGATAGCCTAAGAGCTATAATACTTAGGAACCTAAAGAAAATCTAATAAACTATAAGTTACTAGTACGTAAATACTACTAGAAGCACCTAGAGAAGCGAAGGGTAAACCCTTAGAGAAGAGAAAAGAATAGTTAAAAGAAGGATTGTAGAAATCAGCCTGTAACTAGCCTAGATTAGTTAATAGTCTAGATAGTAATAGTTTAATAATAGAAAGGCCTGTACTACTAGGGGCTAAGCTTCTCTCAGCCTACTCCTTCGCACGATCTTAGATAGTAATTATCGTAAGATTACGACGCGTAAAGGTACGCTTTCTATACTTTACCTCTAGAAGTTTACGGCGTAGGTAAGACGCCTTAGTAGTAGCTAGAGCCTGACGCTCTTTAGCTTAAGTAACCTCTAATTCCTTATACTCCTACTCAGCCTGCACTTCTTCCTACTCTTTTTTAGAAATAAATAAACTATACTTAGCACTAACTAAGATATACCTAGTATAATAGCTAGAGAACGTTTTAACAAAGTAACGAAGCTTCTTCTCCTTATAATACTTATAACGAAAATCTATTTTAAAGCCCTCCTCTTTCGCTCGCGTAGTACGAGCACGTTTCTATTTAGTTAAAGTCTAGATATAGAGAGCACAGAGCTTTTAGACCTTAGGCATAGTTAGGAAGGCTAGAGTTAGAAAGAGATAGTTATAATAGCCTAGGGCCTACTAATCTTATATATAGCCAGCGATTTAATACACGGCACGGTAAAATAATAATCTAGAGTATTAGAATAATACGCCTAAGAGAGAGGATAATATTATAAGTAATAAGAAGGATTCTCTTCTTAATAAAGGATGAAAGGCAAGAAGCCTATAGACGTCTACGTTAGAAGGTAATAATTATTATAAGGCGAGAATTACGTGATCTAGTATCTCGCTAAGACTAGGCATCGCGCTAAGAAGATAGATGCTAGAACATCTTAAGATGCTAGGATATATTAAATATCTCTAGATGCCGGGGTACTTCGAAGATGCTATAGATGTTAGAACTAGAAGTAATAAGGATATAAGAATAAATAGATTTCATTATTACTCTCGTTATAGTTAACTTAAATTATACTTTCTTACTAGTTACTTAACTTCATAAGATTAATACTTGTTAGTCTATTTAATATAGATTAGAAATTATTAAATTTATTATTATCTATCTTATAAGCACGCCCACTCTACTATATCGCTAGATAACTACCTTACGGCGCTATGTATATATCCTTACTCGCCCTAACCTAGATTGAGCTTAGAGAAGTATTAGCACCAAACCCTGTGTAATATATAATAATAAAGTATATCTCTAATATAGAAAGACGGGATACTTCCGCAGAGACTACTTAAATAATAAAGTTAGATAAGAAGTAGTTAAGATTAAGATAATTGGAATACTATTACTATACCTAACTAAGAAACTAGATAAAACTCTTAGTAATCTAGACCTATATAAAGAAGTAAGATAAGCTACTAATAAGGCCTATAAGCTAGTATAAGAGATAATAGGACTCTAAGACTTTAAGTAGGACGTATTACTACTAATAGATTAGTAGATTAAAGAGGTTAAAGTACTACGCCGTCTAAGAAATTAATAGTACTAGATCTATAGACTAACTACATACTAAGCTAATAATTACGACTGTAATAGAAGAGTTATAATCTTAGGGTCTTAAGTAGAGGAAATTACCTATAGAGCTGCCTAGGAATAATCTAGGTTTAAAGAACCTAATAATAAGAAGATATCTTAGACGTTTAAGAAATAGATAGAGTAATATAAGCGCCTATGTTAGGTTAACTACTTAAGATAGTATAACTACTTCTTAAGGAAGTAAGAAAAGACTAGAGATAATAAGAACGATTACTACTATGCTAATTTATAGTATAATAAGTATCGCGTATAGTATTACTATATACACTAGCCTAAAGAAAAGAAAGCTTACGAAGAGTTATACTAGATTAAGTATATAATTAATTACTAATTCTATAAGAAATAGTAATAGAAAGCTAGAAACATAGACGACTACTATTATAGTATAATTTCCGCAGAGGAATATATAGTAAAAAACTATAGAATATATAGAGCTTAAGTATAGAAAACGCTAGTAGAGTATAATAAACTTCTATAGAGGTATTATAGGAAAGAATACGCTATATACTAATAATAGTTTAAGAATATTTAATAAGTAAGTAACTTCTACTATAGTATCTTATTAGCGAATATCTATAAGGTAAAAGATTACTTGATTTATAAAAGTAAGAAGCTAGAACTAAGAAAGAGAGTTATATAATAGAAAATACTTTATAAGAATATCTATTAGAGCTTCTACTATAACAACTAGTATATAATATACTATTCCGCTAAGATAAGTAAAGGCTACTTTCTAAGAAAGAAGAGAAGTAAGTAGTTAAAAAACTACAATACTATTAGAGATAGAGTTACGCTAGTAAAGGTAGTCCTAAAACGACTCTTAGATAAGTATAGAAAGTAGAAGTAAAAGAATTATAATTAAAAGCTATAGTACTTATAGATAGATATAAGGTGTTAGCGCTTATAGATAGTAGGGTAGTACAAACTATTATATCTCTACAAGTAGTAGAAGGAAATAATATACTCTATTAGAATAAGAAGGTACTAATATAAGTAGTATTAGCTAACGATAGTCCTATAATATATAGGAATAGCTCGATTTAACTTAAGACTAAGATAGTAATGTTACGCCTAGCTAGTTAAGAAAGCTAAGAAAAGATTAGTATTATAGATCTTAGAGAGACTAAGATAATAATTAGCTATAATTAGTTATTAAAGTATAACTCTACTATTAACTAGTAAAAGAAGATATTATTTAGCTAAGAGCTTATATATAAGATTGCTAGAGTAAGATATAAGATACGCTTAATAAATTAGTGCGTAACTTAGAATAAGAGATTTAGTATAATCTTACTATATAAGATTATAAGAATCTATGTAAAGAACTATTAGAATATAGAAGTTATTTAGATATAATAGATTATAACTACAAAGGAAGGATTAATACTATAGTTAGCGATTCTAATAGAATACTAAATAGACGAGTTTAGAGAACTAATTAAAGAAAATAAAGTAACAGACCTAGTAGACTATTAGAATTAAGATTATAAGATTATCTTTAATAAAGGAGCTAAGTTAAGCCTAGAACTAATATACTTTATAGCGCTTAAGTATAACGCTAAGCTGCGGGATTATATTTAGAAGAACTTAAAGAAGAGATTTATCTAACTAGAATTAGGCCTAATAGCCTTTCCTATTTTATTTATAAAGAAATCTAACAGAAAGTAGTAACTATATATTAACTTTCGAAGGTTAAATAGCGTTACTTAGAAGAACTAATATCTCTGACTACTTATTATAGAGCTTATAGATTAACTCTAGAAAGCTAAGTAGTTTACGAAGTTTAATATTTAGAAAGGATTTTACTAAATTAGAATTAAAGAAGATTACGAATAGATAATAGCGTTTAAAATAAAGTACGGACTCTTTAAGTATATAGTTATACTGTTTAGATTAATCAATACGCTAGTATCCTTCTAATTAGTTATTAATAACGCTCTCTATAAGTACCTTAGAATTTTTATTACTATATATCTAGATAATATACTAGTATACTCTAGCGGTATACGCGACGAATATATTAAGTATATTAAGAAGGTCTTATAAAAGCTTAAGAAATATAAGCTTTACCTTTAACTAGGAAAGTATAAATTCTATATATAGGAAATAGAATTTCTTAGATTTATTATATTAACTAAAGAAGTAAAAATAAACCTAAAGAAGATATAGACTGTATAGGAATAGCTAATACCTAAAATAGTTAAGAATATTTAATCCTTTTTAGAATTTGCGAATTACTATTAAAAGTTTATTAGAGATTACTTAAAGATTATAGCACCTCTTACAGAAATAATAAAAAAAGAAATAGGTTTTAAATAGGAATAGAAATATTAAGAGGCTTTTAATTAAATTAAATAGATATTCTTAGAGGCACTAGTACTTAAGATGTATAGCTCTTAATAACTAACGAGAGTTAAGACTAACGCCTTAGACTATGCACTCAGAGCTGTATTATTATAGTAGTACCTAGACGGGAAATAAAGACTAGTATTCTACTATTTATAGAAGTTCTCTAGAGTAGAACTTAACTACGATGTTTATAATAAGAAACTACTTAGAGTAGTTAATACCTTTAAATAATAGGAAGTATACCTATTAGAACTCTCTAAATAGATTATGGTTTTTACTAATTACTAGAACTTAATAAGTTTTATAATAACGAAAAAACTTAACTAATAATAAGTGCGATAGGTAGAGATACTAGCCTAGTTTAACTTTAAGATTACGTACCGCGTAGGAACGCTTAATAGAGTAGTAGACGCTTTAAGTAGAAGATCTAATTTGCGCAAAGAGGGTTATAAAGAACTATATAACGCCTTACTTAAGATAATGCTTAATAGTAGTCTAAAGTATAACTAGCTAGAACTAGCTAAGATAGCTAAGGTGGCCGAGTAGGTAGAAATACTATAGAAATAATAGTAGGAAAAGGTAATACTATAGGCGTCGGAAACGGACTTCTACCTACTAGAAGTAATAAATAATAGGAAAGAGCTTAAAGCTCTAAGAGAATATATAAGTACGTATATACTCTTATATATAAGAACTAAACTTATTAAGACCCTATATAAGTTCTTAGAATATAGATACGTAGAGGTGAATGAAATAGTTAGACGACTAGCTAAGATATTTACGATACTACGCTTGCGAGCGAAGGTGTAGAAAATACTAGGTAACTATTTAGTATATTACTAGAATAAGCCTAAGAGATATAAGCTCTACGGCCTATTATAACTCTTATAGCTACTATCTAGACTATAGATAAGCGTAATAATAGACTTTATAGTAAAGCTTCTAAAATTATTAGAACTAGAATTAGCTTAATTTTATAACACTATCCTAGTAATTATAGACTAATTAACTAAAGTAGTAAAGTTTATACCTATAGAAGAGACTATTATAGTAGATAAATGCGCGTACGAAGTTACTAAAGTACTAGTATTAGAGTATAGGATACCTAAAGAGTTTATTACTAATTATAATAAACTGTTTACGTCTAAATACTAGAGTATATTCCTAGTAAAGTTAGGTATTAAGAAGAAGCTTTTAATAAGCCTCTACCCGGAAATAGATGGCTAAACGGAATAAACGAACTAGATATTAGAATAGTACTTATAGATGTACGCTAATAAATTATAAAATAACTAAGTAGAATTATTACTAATAGCGTAACTAGCCTATAATAGTACGAAATTAGTAATAATAAAGTATTCGCTGTACTACGCGAACTACGGATATAAGCTAACTGCTTACTAAGATCTGAAGAATATTAAAAGTATTATAGTAGGGGTAGATAATAAAGTGAAGCTTATATAAGAATTATATAAAGAATTAAGTAAGAATATAGCTTAGTAGAACCTTATAACATTTAAAGTAGTAAATAAACTAAGAATTAAGAGACTAACCTTTAAGAAGAGGGATAAAGTTTTCTTATTACGATAAAATCTAAAAATTAAACGACTATATAGAAAATTAGATAACCTCTAAATAGAACTATTTAAGATTTTAGAGAAAATAGAGAAAATAAACTAAAAGTTAAAACTTCTATAAGGTATATAAATCTACTCTATTTTTTATAAGAAACTCCTAGAACTAGCACCTCTAGATACTAAGCTAGTAACGGATATAGAGCTCAAAGATAACGAGTATAAGGTTGAGGAAATTAAGAACCTACGGAAAATTAGTAGTTAGTAGAAGTACTTAGTTAAGTAGTAAGGATGGCCCAAAAGCTATAATACTTAGAAACTTAAAGGAAACCTAATAAACTGTAAGTTACTAGTACGTAAATATTACTAGAAGCACTCAGAGAAGCGAGAGAAAGCCCCTTAAAGAGGAAGAAATAGTTAAAAGAAAGATTATAGAAATTAGCCTATAACCCGCCTAGATTAGCTGATAGTTTAGATAGCGGTAGTTTGATAACAGGAAGGCCTGTACTCCTAGGAGCTAAGCTTCTTTTAGTCTACTCTTTTACACGATCCTAGTGTAAAGGGCTGCGCCCGTGATCTCTACTGAAGAGGATCACGTGATCTTCGACCACGTGATATACCTTCTGTACGGACACGTGATCAGAAGCGAGCAGGTATAAGAGAAGTCTGTACTTAGTTATCTTCTCTTTTTCTTATCTTTTAGCTTCTATACGATAGGTAGAAGCATACTCATTCGCTAGGCCTCTCCGCCCATAACATAAGCTAAAAGATCACTTTAACCCTTCTTACTCTTTTCTCTCGTACGGAGCGAGAGAGAATTAAGAATGCAAAATAAACAAGATATAACGATAGGGCTACATGAGCCTATACCAAACCCAGAACCTAGTAACGCCCCGCTAAGGCCTCCGACGTACGAGGAGCTCGCAGAAAGCTGGAGCCAACTTAATGCAACGAATAATCTACTCTGACGAAACCTAGACCAAATGGCTACAAGACTTAAGGACGCTGAAGGCGTACGAGAAGAACTCCAAGAGATGAAAGCCCTTTTCCTCCGTACGGCACAGGGGCAAGCTACCCCTAACGCACAGACTCCTAATCTCACGCTGAGTATGGAAAGTCAGTAACCTTCTAGCTAGCCTCTGGCTACGCCTACGCCCGTACAAGAGTTTGGAAAAGCTAGACTCCCTGATATTAGAATCTTCGAGAAAGGCTCACACGAAGAATACACGCAGTGGAAGATGCAGATCCGTACGAAACTATCGGCGGATTATCTGGCTTACCCTACGGAGTTCTACCAAGCTTACTATGTAATCTCCCGTACGGGAGGACTAGCCTTTTTAGCATTACAGGCTTACGTACAAGACTTCACGAGCAGAAATCTATCACCCAGCTTGAGCAAGCTTTGGGAGCAACTAGACGCGTTCTTCGAAGACCCTTTAATTAAGCAAAAAGCTCTACAGTATCTCCGTACGACTAAGCAAGGAAAAGGCGAGTTTCTTTTCCACGTACGAGCTTTCAATCTAAAGTTCAACGAAGCTGGTTTCGGACAAGATGACAACGCGCTGAAAATTGACTATCTCAAGAATTCTCTCAATAGGAAGCTACTACGCTACCAAGCTGGGTACCAGCCTCCTTCAAACGAGACGTACGACGCCTTTGTTCATCGACTTAGGAACACTTAGGAGAATCTCAAGGTAATTGACCAACTCTCGTCTAACGCGCCCTCTTACTCGACCTCTCTTCCTACGTCTACCCTAGCTGCCGTGGACGAAATGGACTGGACGCCTAATGTAGGCGCCATGCGTCCCCGTACGAGGAACGAGTACTGGGGTACACAAAGCCAAATTGCTCAACGCAAGGAGGAGGGCAGCTGCCTACGTTGTGGCATCCACGGCCACCTCGTACGGCAGTGTAAAGCAGCAGTCCTAAAACGCACGCGTAAGCCAGAGACCGTGACAAAAGTCCTAGCTGCTACCTTAGAAGACGAAAGCTCGGACGAGGGAAAAGAGGAGCCCTAGTCTAAAAACGCCGACTAGGGCAGCCAAAGCAGGTTAAGCAGGTCGTACAACCTGTCCAAGAGCTACTTCACCAACTAAAGCCTACTCAGCCAATGTCCATAGACGTAATCGTTAATCTTTTGAAAAACGCTACTGCTATGATTGATAATAGGTGCTGCACTTATGCGATAGTATGTGAAAGACTTGTACGAGAACTTGACCTGCCGCGCGTATCTATCCCTACTAGGGAAATTGAAGGTGTTAATAACCAGAAAAGCACTGTACGAGCTATTACTCAATTTACTGTAGATGTTGGAGGAATCAAGCGAAAAGCAGCCGCTTTCATTACCACGTCCACGTACGAGTACGACATTATTTTAGGGAAGACCTGGCTTGAAGATGTAGGAGGTGTTATTGATGCGGCCGGACGAACACTTCTTCTTCCACGTTACGATCTCTCTATACCTAGCATAGAGAGAACCAAACCACTACAGAACTTCGCTGCAATCTCAGCAGCCGCCTTTCAGGCCCACGTACGACGAAGCCGAAAACAGCCAGCTCTGCAAGTCTTCGCTGCCAGTCTCCAAGACATCGAGAAAGCTCTCCGTCCGAAGACGCAGCTAACTATAGCAGAAGTAACTAAGTCGCTTCCTTTATACTTGCGACAGTACGCCTCTCTATTTACCCCAAAGGAAGGAGACGAGCTCCCGCCCCTACGAGGTCCAGACGTTGACCACAAGATCGAACTGATC